GGAGATCTGATTATGATGATGATATTTATGTTTTGAGAAACATGATACATAGCTTTATACATTTTGGAAGAAACTTGTATAGTTTTGGTTTAAAGCTTGTAATAATGGCATGTGTAGCCTTTATGTATTTGAACATTTGTTTATGTAATTTTGATGTTCAAATGTTGTATTTTTAAATCTTATGATATTTTCATGGAAGTTAATGAATGAATGTGTAATTAATGTCATATGATAGGTTTAAAGCTTTGACATAGCTAAAATTATGCATGGGAAATGATAAATTGTCAATTAGGTGGTGTGTTGGACAAATTGGGGGATAGTATATCCTATTATATGTCAAAATAGCAATTTTGCTCACTGTCCAGGAAGTAATTGATTACTTCCCATAAGTAATCAGATATGTAATACCCTATATTTTCTTTTAATAAAATAATAATAATAATAAATATTTTTGGATAATAATGATATTTAGTATTTTTGTAATTAATAATATTGGTATTTAATATTTTTAATTAATGAGTTAATAATAGTTAAAATAATAAGAGGTAAGATAATAATAGTAATATTATTTAATTTATGTGATAATATATATATATATATATATATATATATTAGATGATAAATTATGATTAATTGATTTATTAATTGATTGATGATTTATGTATTTATGTTTGATTAGTAATGATTGATTAGTAAATTGTTTAGATATGATGAGTCAACAAACATAAATTGTTTAGATATGATGAGTCAACAAACATATATTGTTTAGATATGATGAGTCAATAAACATAAATTGTTTAGATATGATGAGTCAACAAACATATATTGTTTAGATATGATGAGTCAGCATTGAGTCAGTAATGTATAAGCCCTAAACTTCAACTATAAATAGAGACCTAGCTTAACCAAACCAATTCACTCTCCTCTACTACTCTCTCTCTTCTCACTCCAAAAAGCTTATTTTAATTATTTTCAATCTTTATATTTTTTTTATCAACCGATTCTCTACCCCAAATTACTCTTTTCTTCTAGAAGTTAGCGCGGAGACCAGGTAATCTTAATCTCTAGGTGGTTGTAGATTTGTTGTGTATGAAATTTTATTGGGTGTCCTATTATTCAGGTAGTTATATGTTTGATATATGTAATCTCAATCCCTAGGAAAATTTTAGGATGTTTTCATATATTATATGTAACCCTTAGGGTATTTAAATTAAATTATTTTAATCTCTAGAAATTAATTGGATTAATTATTACATTTTGGCTTTACTCTAATAGATGTGAATATTTGAATTATGATTTGGAAAAATTATGATATGATGATTGGATTTAGATTTTACTCTTTGAATTCTGATTTCGAAAATTATGATATAATGATTGGATTCGAGTTTTACTCTGTTATATGTTGAATATGAAAATTATGATATTCTTGGATAATGGATTTGAAAATTATGATGGATTAGAAAATTATGATATTCTTGGATAATGGATTTGGAAATTATGATGGATTTGGAAATTATGATGGATTTGGAAATTATGATATTCTTGAAAAAATGAATTTGGAAATCATACTCTTGATTAAATTGATGTGGAAATCATGAAAACTATTTGACAATTATGAGAATCGTGACAAGATTGAATTGATTGTATGTGATTGAATAAATTAATAGTGGGAGGATAGCTTTGGGATGGTACCTCCCAAGGTGATGAACACAATTTTTGGGCTTTATGCCTCCGATGTGAAACTGATGTGAAAAAGATTATATTCGTTCTTTCCAAAGTGGTGTCTGGCAGGGTTTTCCGGGATACTAGTAGCAACTTTGGGAAGAGGTGTGCACACTAGGAAGATGTGAATTGATTATGGCCAATTTTGATTATATGTGGCTGGTAACAGTGGTTTTTTCCCGGGTCACGGGGTAGACTGGCAGGGTTTCCCGGGTCTACCATGGTTCTCTTCCCACTAAATATAATGAACTTAAACATTATTAATAATGAAATTTGTTATTTGATTTGATTATGAAGAATGTCATTGAGTTGTGAATATTATCATATTATGACTAATGTTGTGCTAAATATATTAGTTGATAATTACCAAATACATTAAATGAACTTAATAAAGATAAATATTATATAATGGAATTTTGATTATTATATTGATATTTGATTTGATTAATGTGGAATTGATTTGAACACTATTTGATATTTGATTTAATTTGTTATTACTCACATTAATTGTATTTTGATTAGGATTACCAGCTTTGCTGACTTTTGTGTTTGTTTGACTGCAATGATCCTGCGGCTGCGGGGGAGCAGATTTTCAGTGAAGCATGTTGCAAAGGATGGGGCTAGCTGTGGACAGTGAGGATCACGACTCGGGTATTTCAAGCTAGTTTCTAAGTTTAGAAATTTATGAGATTTAAATAAATGCATAAGACATATTTCCTTTATTTAAACTTTAGTCTTTGGTTTTATTTTAATGTAATAAATTTAGCCTTGCACCTGTTCATTGTACAGGTGCGGCGGTAACATTCCCCAAATTAGATTTTGATTAGCTTCCGCAATATTTCTATTATTATAATTGTGAAAAAAATGAATTTTGACAATTTATTTATTATAAGATTGTTTTATAAATTGTTAGAAATTTGGGGTGTTACAAGATATTTCCCTGGCAATAACTTAACCTGAGCCACTATTTTGATTACTTTCAAGAAAGTAATCGATTACTGGGTTGTAGGTAATCGATTACTTGATGTGACAATGGAGTAATCTGTTACTCGGGTTTTGGAAGGTTTAAATCAACTTCTAATGAGTTGTGGTGCCTTGTTAAATGATGATGGACTTTAGGGAGGTTAAATTAATCTCTCTCAACATGAATAGATGTCCCAACATGGTTAATCATTCCTTATGGAGTGGTAAGGGATTAAAGTTTATCAAAGTGAAGTACTTACGTGAAATTATGGGTGTGCATGACAACCATCCGAGAATCATTTTTTTTAATTCATATTCTTGGGAACAAAAACGGATAGAAACAGCGTTTGGTAAAATCAATTTATTTTTTGTTCCCGGGATGAACTAGTTTAATTTTTGTGCTGAGTAATAAAAAAAAAGAAACACAGTTTTTTTGCTTCTCCGTTCTAGGGCACAAAAAGAGAATCACTTTGATTTTTTTTTTCATCAGCACTCTTAACCCTTTCTCTCAAAAAAAATTGAAACAAAATTAAAATACAAAAATTTAATTATTTTTTTTTAGAAACCCAAATCCCTTCCTCTTTCATCGACCAGCAACCCCCGTTGTCTTTCACCTCCAACAACCACCGACCTCCACAACCACCATAGAAGCCAGCCATCACCTCTTATCTTCATCGGCGAACCACATATCCACCACCGTGCCCAACCAAACCACCAATGACAAACCCCATTCCCGTTCGCATATCACCGTTTCACCTTTGGTTGAAACCCCAAATACCATCTTATCCGCCACAAACCTCCTCGGCCACCACCAATTTCGTCCGACCAAATCCTACCAAAACCCCAACCATTCGACCACTAGCCTCCACCACCGCTGAATCTACAAAACACCCACCACTGACCCATAAGCAAGTCTCTCACAACCGACCCAGCCATCTCCCTTCTCCTTCCGCCAAAGTAATCATCGCCTTCCTCCATCATCCCGTCATTAACCCTGCCGACCAAGCACAATCGTTTGCAAGCCACAACATCTCATTGGCCATCCATCTCACCGACCATCCATCTCTTTCTTTATCTCTTGTCCATCTATGCCGACAACCACATTTATTGGCCAAGCACTTCGGTTGTATTGTGTTATCAAACGTAATTCTAATTCTCAAAATAAAAAAATATGTTAATAAATGTAATTTTGATTCTCGAAATAAAAATAAAATATGATTACAAACGTAATTCTGATTTAGAACTCTTCTAAGACACAAAATCAAACAAAAATTGTTTCATCTCAGAATCAGTGCTAGGGAACAAAAAGGATGTCATGCACATTTTATTTCATAATTAAATGGAGTATAATGCAATATGTAAGAAATGAAAAAGTTAGTTCACAAATTTACATAAGTGTAATTGTGATATTTATAAGTATAGATTATGTTCTATTACTTAATTGTGTTGCGCTTAATACCATGTAAAGAGATAATACACCGGTTGCAGATAGGGTGTTCCGGTAATAATCTAAAATTTTATAAATTACAAATATTTAAATAATAATTTATAAATTTGTGAATCATAACTATTTTATACATTTACATTTTTTTTTAAGTGCAGTTATTATAAGATCTTTATTATTGAAAGTTGAAAAGAACTTGTTCGAGCTTGTTCTCCTTAACGTGCTTCACAAACAACTTATGAAATAGTTTGTTGAAGGAGCACCTCAACATGCATGTTGTTTTCTAACTACCGCTACGATACAAATTACCAATGTGTTCTGATCAACATGCTACTCATCACTGTTAGTTGATTGATTTTCCATGTCACTGTGGATGCAATGCGACAAACAGTGACAAATATGATTGGAACACTGCCCTCTCAGTTTTATGCGGTAACAGTTACCACTGTAAGTGTTGTATCACTTTCTCTTTCTCCTTCATTAATTTTTGCAATCATTTTATGATACCCTTTTATGCAACTTGTGATGGTTTTAGAAGCTTCCTGCAACTTCGGAAGGTATGAAATGAATGTTAAGCGGTTGACCATACCAATCAATAGTATCATGACAATATTTAGTTTTTATATATGGTGTTGTGTGTGAAGTGAAATACTTTACTTTTAATAATGTGTAGTTATACACTGATTATAGATTTAATTTTTAAACTCATGGGAATAAACCGTCCCCATGACAGATAATTATTCTGTATCTCAGACATGTAACGGATGGTTATGTTTTCTTGAAACGTGTGGTTATGTCCGTAAAAATAAATCATTAAACAAGTGTCAACAAAATAAAAGACGTTGAATAAATAGTAAAAACAAGTGTCACCAAATAAATCTCAAATAGTTGGTCATAATCATATATTATTAATTTGACAATTTATTGTTTTTGTTATTTGGCTAAAAATACATAATAATACATATCAGAGAACTTCAGCATCTTCCAAAATGATCAGAACTTGTCCCCTAAAATATCTTTGAAAATTTGATCACCTGCGCAATGCTGCAGCAAGGACAATGTCAACACTTGACACCAGACATGATATTAGCGTCTTCGTGTGTTTCCCCAATACTGAAACCCCAACCTTTTATGGAGGCTTCCCTAAAGAAAATTCACATGTAGCAGCATAACCTGTTTATCGTATGTATAACACAGTTCAATAACCAAGGAGATTGTCTCCATTAAAACCATCAAGCAACTGTATCCACAAGAGGGTATCTTGATAGAACAAAAAGGCTCACAATTGCTCTCCTCTTAAGGAACTACCCACTAGCCTCTTCTTAAGGAATTGTAATTCGAGTCTTTTAGCCCATAGGCTTTGATCAGCTGATTCGCAGATTGGGAATCCAACTACAACAGACCATCTTAAATTCAACAACCCAACTACAAGTACATCTTCAGAATCTTCAAATAATTTAAGTATATGTGACTCATCAGCCAAATCTTCAGCAAGGATGAATTCATCCACAAAATTTTTCTTCTGTCTAAGTATGTTGCCATCTATAGACATCATACGCAAACTTAAAACTTGCAATGCTTCAATTGCGGTATTGTGAAAACCAGAGTTTACATATGCAGAGAAGACATAGCCGCATGTTGCTGGATTAGGCTGAATTTTCTCTCGGTGCATACACTCCACAATAAACTCAATTACGTCAATCCTTCCCTAATTCATGGAAGAAATTATAAGACAAAAAAATTAGGTCATACTCTAAATTTTCCTTTAAAAAGGAAGAAAGCAAGCACAATTAGACTTTTCATCAGGGTAGAAAACTAGAAACTTGTTTTTTCCCCCGGATACCAAGGACTAGCAAGCGAAGTGTGAAGAAATTATAACCATTATCCAACATGAAACATGGTAACTATAGCAGAACATTTGCAGTTCCTTAAGAAAAATACTAGATTAGCCATAATTTTTTATAGAATGAGCTGGCATTGTTCTTGACTCTTGGATGGACGAGTGACCCCTATCACTTTCGAGTTATCCAACAACCATCCTTAAATCTTGACAAATTTTGGCTGAATTCTATAAAATTTTCTGGCTGCCTAGCATTACTCATTTCTTAATCATATATACGAGTTTGAAACAGATTCTTTTTCTTCTACCTTTTATCCCCCTTCTATACAGAAAGATATTAATATGAAAGACATAGTACCTGGTAACATGCTTTTCGAAGAAATGTATTAAACAATAGTACATCAAGTTGGATGCCATCCAATCTAACTCGTTCGAAAAGATTCAGGGCTTCATTAAAGTTCTCATTTTCCAACAAAATCTGAAGCAAACAAGCTCAGTATCAAGTTGGACACAGAGCTCAAAAAATAAATCTATAAATTGTAAGACGGACATCATGGCAACACATGAACAAAGAATTAAGATATCAGCATGCACGCAATGGGCAGTGTACAATATATGATACATGCATCAGTTATAACTTATAACTCAATTTGCATAATGATCAGAATTCAGCTGCAAATTCCTGTAATTTTTGCAACATTTTGCTGGTAAATTAATTCCTTCTCAGGACAAGATAAGCAGTAAAATGGGCAATAAGGTCAAGATGAACCAAAACCAGATGATCCAGAAGAACAACTATGCTTTCCTTGGGTAGTAAGAAACAAATTTTGAAGCCAATACTTTAGCCACTACATATATGAGCAAAGATTTAGTGGGTTTTGTATGTTCAAACTCCATCCAGCCTAATATGTCCAAAGTTATAAGAAAAAATAAATGCTTCAAATATTGTACACTATGAGCATGAGGAATGTAACTCAGGAGAGAACTGCAGAAAGACTCCTGAAGTATCATTTCAAAAAAAAAAAAATTTATTTAGTAAACCCCCTATATGCTGCACAAATTATGTACCAATAGAAATATGTCACACCAGATTGGCGCATTTGTACTTGCAGGTTGACTACTTGACTTGTGGAAGGGGATTAGGAAGTTCATTAAGTTACTTTAAAATCCTGAACCTGTGCATTTTACTCTCATCATATAAAACAAGTACAAATGCCAAAACTTTGACAAAATGGTAATAATTTGGAAAACATTATCAGAGGTTAAACAAAAATAACCTTAATGAGAGTAGTATATGTACAAGTCATTGGACAAAACCCTTCACGTATCATCACCGAAATCAGCAAAGAAGCAGATTTGTAACAACTTAGGACGCTACAACAGTCAATCATTATATTGTATGTTTCGGAATCAGGATGGCAGCCACATAACTTCATCTTTTTGAAAATTTCAATTGCCATGTGACACTGCATATCAAGTGGAAAACATTATATGTTAGAGAATAATATAAACCATTAAAAAGGCCCTCACCCAACAGCTTAAGGTTTTGGGTTGAAGTGGTTCTTTACATGGTATCAGAGCTTCAGTGACCATAAGGTCCCGAGTTCAATCCTCACCGCTCCCTACTTGTGGAATAAAATAAGCATATGGTAAACCAAAAGTAAAAATAAAAAAAATTGGGCCTATGCAATATCAACGCTTCAAGCCCAAAGGGCTCTTGCGTGAGGAGATATGTTAGAGAATAATATAAACTATTAAAAAGGGCCTCACCCAACACTTTAAGGTTTTGGGTTGAAGTGATTCTTTTACATTATATTCCAGCAAGACATGTTAATCTACAATGGAGAAGCATATAGAAGGATTATTGTGTTATTTTAAGTTATTATGTTATTATTAGAATTTTAGAATTTCCTCTTATTTAAGAGATCTTTCATTACTTTTAGGGATTTTATATTTAATAAGGAATTATCAGGATTTATCTTGCATTTTATATTTATAAGGGATTATGATTTATCCAGGATTTTATTATTTTAGGGTTATAAATACCTTTTAGGTGCCTTATGTAATTCAAACTTTTGCATAATTGATTATTGATATTTTGTTTGAGTTGGATGAGCACTCCTCCATAAAAAAAAGCACTCTACGTTTGTTTTTTAAAGGGGACTATCCTTCAAAGAGCACTTCTACCATTGCGTGCGGCATTTTTCGGCGGCCTTTCGCCATCAACAAAGAAAAGAAGGGGTTACCTAGGCCTCCTCTTTTCAGGTCTGCCATTGCTTTGTTCAATGGACATCTTTTGGGTTGTGGGTTTGTAATTTTCGCATCAAGATTCAATGTTTTCTTGGTTCTCTTGGACCCCTATTGCTAAGATCTAGTCTTCCCATTGCTGATTGGGGTCGACGAAGATTTCATTGGTAATTATCCACCCTCGTGTGTTATTTTTATTTTTTTATATTTTTTTGACTAATCACTCCTTTTTCGTCCATTTAGCACTATGTCGGACGTTGACAGTACTATTGACCATTCCACAATACAGTGTTTGCTATGCAACCAATTGTTCCTCTCAATCCAAATGATCTTCCCACTTTACATCAGAATTATTGCTTCTGTTGAGATATATAAAACCATTAATGTAGCCTCACCCAACAGCTTAAGCTTTTGGGTTGAATTGGTTCTCTACATGGTATCAGAGCCTCGCCGCCCCCCACTTTTTCTTGTGGACTTTCTTAGCACAAGTAGGCAGAGCCTGTTGCATCTTCCACTCTTCAAACCCAATGGGCTCTCGTGTGAGGGGACGTGTTGTGATATATAGTCTCACATTGGTTGTATGTGCAACTAATGTGGAGTTTATAAGGCCTTGGGCACTCCCACCCTTTAAGCTAGCTTTTGGGGTTGTTGAAATATATAAAACCATTAACGTAGCCTCACCTAATAGCTTAAGCTTTTGGGTTGAATTGGTTCTTTATATGGTATCAGAGCCTTGTGTCCCGGGTTCGATCCTCACCGCCCCCACTTTCTTTCTAGTGGAATTTCTTTGTTCGCACAGGTAGGTGGGCCTGTGCATTGTCCACCCTTCAAGCCCAGTGGACTCTCGTGTGAGGGGGCGTGTTGAGATATATAAAACCATTAATGTAGCCTCACCCAACAGCTTAAGCTTTTGGGTTGAATTGGTTCTTTACAGCTTCCATGGGAAATAACAGATTTTGGAGAAGCTCGGTAGATTAGCCCCACATGGCTAGGCTCATATGACCTCATTGGACATGATAACTCCTAGTGAGGGCACACGCATGTCTAATGAATTCATTACTACTCGCCTTGTTGAATTGGAGCAGCTTCAAACTATTTTTTATTTTCTCAGTAATCCCCATGGGACTGGTTCTTTGGCTATGACCGATAAGAACACAAGTACTCAATCTTTTATCGCCTCTTTCATTGATCTCAAAATTCATGAATTGTATATTCTGGTGCTACTAATCATATAACTTGCTGCGCTAACCTATTTCTCTCTTATTATCCTACTGTTGGTACTCATACTATAATCATAGTTGATGGCTCTCACGCATCAGTTGCAGGTTCTAGCAACATTCGAAGTCAACTTTTCTTACATCTGAAAAATGCTCTTTATCTTCCCTAACTCTCCACCAATCTTCTTTCCATACATAAACTTACTAAAAATTTCAATTGTACACTAAACTTTTTTCCTACTCACCATGCTTTTCAAGATCTCACCATAGGGAAGATGATTGGCGTTGCCTAAGGAGCAGGGTGGATTGTATTCTCTCATTCTAGAATTTGCTGCAAATGGGACTAAGGATCAAATATTGATGACTTGTTGTCAGTCTACTCCAGAATCTCTAATTAGGCTTCATGATAAGCGATTGGGCACCCTTCATTTAATCTACTTAAGTCTATGTTTCTGTCTTTATTTATGTCACAGCTGATTCAATCTTTCCAATGTGATATCATGTACTTTTTCATTCTAGTGCAATAAAAAGTATTGAACCTTTAGCTATTATACATTCTGATGCTTGGTGTCCTTTTGAGGTTCTTAATGTTTCTGGTTCGAAACAATTTGTTTCTTTTATTGATGATTGTACTTGGGTAACCTAGATATTTTTCATGAAAGACAAGTCAAAGGTACCACAGTTGTTCATCCAATTTTATCATATGATTGAGACATAATTTCGAAAAGGTATTAAACGTTTGAGATCAGATAATGATACAGAGTATGTAAACCAACGCCTTTCCAAATTCATTAAACATAAAGAAATGGTTCATGAACTTACAAGTGTGGACACCCCTCAGCAGAATGGAGTTGCTGAGCGAAAAAATTGCCATTTACTTGAAGTCACCAGAGCATTACTCTTTTGAACATCTATACCCAACTCTTATTAGGGAGAAGTTGTGTTAACTGTAGCTTATCCGATCAACTGCTTACCCTCCCAGATTCTTGACCATATAAGTCTTATTCATTCCATGACCTCCTTTCCCTCTGCTCCAGTTATGCAGAGTCTTAAGCCTTAAGTTTTTGGGTGTATTGCCTTCATCCATATTCATAAACAACATAAGAGTAAATTGGACCACTGAGCTATTAAATGTATCTTCCTTGGCGATGATCCCAACAAAAAGGGATACAAATATTATCTTCCTCCAAGTTGTTAGTTTTTTGTCTCAATGGGTGTAACTTTCCATGAATCTGAGTCATTTTCCCCTCATCTTCACCTTTAGGGGGAGAACAATTATGAAGCTTCATCAATTTTCTTCTTTGAGCCCGAGTCTTACTTTACCATTACCCATACCTCCGAATCATTCTCTACTTCCCCAAGCTCCTTCCTTGAGGGGAAATGTCGTAAATATGAAAAATATCTGTAATTATTTGTTTCCTTTATTTGCCAGATTATATTTAGGATATAGGTTTATTCCTTTTGACCATTTAGTTTCTCTATAAATATTGCGACCCCTTGTACTTGTTTTCTCAAGCAAATAATATTTCAATTTTTCTCCTTTCAAGTTAATATGTTTAACTCTCCGGAGATGAGTTCTTTCAAAGGGGTAAAATGATGTAGAATGGAGCATATATTGAAGGATTTTTGTGTTATTTAGGAATTATTATGTAATTATTAGAATTTCTTCTTATTTAAGAGATCTTCATTATTTTTAGGGATTTTATATTAATTAGTATTTTCTAGGAATTTATATTTGATTGGCATTATGATTTATCTAGGATTTTATTACTTATAGGTTATAAATACCCTTTAGGTGCCTTATGTAATTCAAACTTTTGCATATAATTGATTATAGATATTTCATTTCATTCAGATAGTACTGGAAACTTGAGACGGAGGAGCACTCCAGGTTTGTTTATCAAAGAACTACTCGTGATTTATCAATCAGGGAAGTAGCATGCCAAGATGAGTACTATTGGACTGTCCTACATCACAAAGCAGGTTGTCAAAATAGAGAAGTAACGGTGTAAAAGTCACTTACTTCTTTGGCTTCAACAAGATAATGCAACACTATGTTGTACATATCTGTTCCCAACGAAGGGTTTCTATAAATAAAAAGATTCTCTGCCACGTGTAAATACTGGATCAGCTCCCTCATCATCCCTTCTTGTCCAAGGGCTTTCAACTGAAAAGAACCAAAGGTCATAGCCAAGTCATAAGCAATGTAAATGGACAAGATACCAATCCTGTCCCTATCTAACCCAGCTTGGAGAGCAATTAAACATCAAACTCTCAATCATAACGTTAGCAATTTAAGTCGACCTTTCATTAGCATGCTCTCACACAAGTGTGTGTGCGTGTGTATGGAGGAAGCTGGAAGAAATTAATAATTTAATACACAAAACTACAATGACAGCAACAAAAATGACAGCAGCAAAATCCATTTTGTACTACGGGAGGTTGGCTACATTGGCTACATGGACAAATGATACGATTGTGTTCTACCAAAAAGCAAGTTTTTGAAATCAAGGTCTTTTTAATTGTTTCACTTCAGAGTTTTCCTTTGTCTTCCTCTACTTCTGTTTATAGGGTCATCCTCCATCTGATCAACTCTTCTTATTGGGGCCTTTATTGTTCCTCTCCTCACATTACTGTTGGCACCAGGCTTTTCAAGAGAAATAATTACAGTAATTAGAGAATTCAACAGCAATCTCAATGAAGAAAAACAATTTTATTAATGGAAGTAAGGATCATACACTTCATCAGTGATACAACTCATGACAGTAAACAAGTAATAACAAAAATTAAGAGACTCAACGATAATGACTAATTCCTCCCAATGGACTATCCTATTGGAGAAGAAACACAGTGGACTACACCTTGCAGTCACACTGTTACTACCCACACTCCTCTACAATATTCTTCACACCTCCCCCTCTTTTCCTAACTGACTAATATCCCCTGAACCTTCCCTGCCTCCCTCTCCAATTTCGCCCTCTCCATTGATAGCTTGCCACGTGTTCCCTCCTCTAACTGACTCCCTTTTGTCTTCAGCTCCTCCTTTTTGGGCCTTGCGTGTGTAGACTTTGCCATAGGATTTGAGAGGCCCATCAATTACCATACCATCTTAGGCAAGATTGTGTCATTTTATCCTCAATATGTGTTAGTCCAGCTTTCTCCATAACACTTTAATTCCTAATTTTATCTTTTCTCGTTTGTCCATTCATCCACTGCAACATTCACATCTCTGCAACTCTTAGCTTTTATGCTCTTGTTGGCACTTTGCTACCCAACATTACTACAAAGCATTACTCGACTTGTGGGCTATTTATTAAAATTTTCCTTTGACTTTAAGAGGCACCTTCAATCACAAATAACACCTAAGGCATTCCTCCATTTCCTTCCATCCTTGGGTTTACATCTTAATTACTAAACAGAATAGGCAAACAAGATAAGCATGATTTTGACATAGAGGGGTCTAAGTAATCCACACTCTAGTAACAAAACATTTTGTTTTACGTTAATTGAATCCCAGGACATGTTATTGACTACTCGGTTGATTACCACCACCACCCTCTTTTAAAATTCAAGTAGAAGGAACTCAGGAAATTACGTCATCATTAAGTTATGTGCAAAAAGGAAACATGAATTTAACTTACCAAGTTTCTGATTGAAAGATGACTATGCTGAATGCCATTTTTGGCCATATCCCTTTCTATAGCATTTATTCTTTTAGCAGCATCCACCTGTGACAGCATATTACCGTCTTCATATGGGGCATTTACTATACCAAATAACGAAAATAAAAGCTCGTATGTCCTGATATTAGGTAAAACTTTAATCTGCTTCATTTTGGCGAACACTCGCACAGCACGTTCAGGCTGATTCTGCAAATTTTGATTAGATAAATAAAATGTAAGCCATTTATAAAATCTAAGGGCAACTAAGAGGGTCGGACTTGCGAGAGATAGTTCAGTTATAAATTCAGTTCCTCATCCTAATTGGTGCTCTATCATGCAGCCTATTGATAAAAAAATGACTTATTTAATATGCCATAGCAACAAATCCAAGCCAAACAAACAATAATCAATTACATAATAGTAATAAAAGGGCATTCATTGATTGAAGACCCCAAAATTATTAACCGTACAAGAAAATTATCCAGTGTGTAGAAATATATATAGAAATATCGATAGTGTTGTCAACATTTATAATTCATGTATTTATTAACTAGAATTAGTGTTTCCTCAATATAGTTATTAGTTTCATTTCTTCGGCACATTAGTCTCTATATATTCTGTAACCCTTTGTACATAAGCAATAGTATTTTAGTTTTCTCCTTTCAAGTTGGTTTTAGAGCTTCTATGATACAAGGGTCTAGAGTTTGATTCCTGCCGCCCCCAATCTTCTTTTCTTTGAATAAAAAGTTTAATTTCCATGTTTCAAACCCTAAAAAATGGCTTTTGGTTTAGTGGGCCTGTATAAATTGTCATTGCTTCAAACCCTAAAAAAAGGACTCTTGGTGTGGTGGTCCTGTAAATTGTCCACACTTCTATCCTGCTAAAAAATAATATAAACCATTAAAAAGACCATCACCCAACACCTTAAAGTTTTTGGTTAAAGTGGTTTTTTATATGGTATCAGAGCCTCGGTGTCCCGGATTCGATCCTCACCGCCCTCCATTTTCTCTTGTGGAATTTTCTTAGCACAAGTAGGCTGGGCCTGATGCATTATCCACTCTTTAAGCCCAATGGGCTCTTGTGTGAGGGGACATGTTAGAGTATAATATAAACCATTAAAGATGCTCTCACGTAACAGCTTAAACTTTTGGGTTGAATTGGTTCTTTATATGGTATCAAAGCTTCCTTAACCACAAGGTCACGAGTTTGATCCTCACCGCCCCCCACTTGTGGAATTAAATAAGCATAAGATAGACCAAAAATTGGGCCTATGCAATAATCCATGCTTCAAGCCCAAAGGGCTTTTGCGTGAGAAGGTGTGTTAAAAAATAATATAAACCATTAAAAAAACCCTCACCTAACACCTTAAGGTTTTGGGTTGAAGTGGTTCTTTATATATCCTATAAGGATCTTGGCGTGTAAGGGTGTGTGTTAAGGAATAGTATAATATAAAATCATATCACTTAACAACTTCAATTTTTGGATTAAATAGGTTTTTTACATATACCAACAAAATAGTTTCCTTATTTACATTTTATGTACATTAATTATTGTACTATAGTACTTCACCTTGCGCTACCATATTATTCAGTAATATAAATAGGATGCCAAAGAAAGTGTAATGCACCGACTCATTCACATATTTTAGGGTTTCTCTATGGTCCTTTTCTCTCAACACAAAAACATCAAAATTAGATATGTTTTAAGGTGAACTAATTTTAGTCTTGCAAACAATAAAATGGTAAAAACGACAAATTTTGTTTTGAAGTTTCATATTTGAGCTCACCAGTGCATCACATGATGCTAGCAAAGCATTGTAAGGATGTGGATATAGACATTTAGAAATCCGATTCAGCAAAGCCTCAGCTAAATCTAGTTGCATTGCTTCGCTGCAACTGATTGAAAGTGTAGCTAGAGTTGGATCATATGGCTTCAAATTCTTCTGCTGCATTTTTTCTAGCTGCAAATTATATGAAAATAATATATTATCTTTAATCAAGATGAGTTTCAGCACGCACAAGGTCATAGAGCTCTACGCCACACTAGATATCATATTCTATTAAAAGAGAAGGAAACAAAAGGCATATGATGTAATCTGCATGATTAAGATACTCAACGGATGCACTAATATATAACTGAATAAAAGGAGTTACACATGAATAATACATTATGCGGGACTTTGTCGCTCACACTAAACTATTCTATTTACTACATTCTCGATTTCCCCTCCACCTCGAGCATATAAATAGTATGCGCAAAGCTTGTTAATATGTAATCTATTTGAGGACCTCTCAAAGACTTAGTGAAGACATCCGTCAGTTAATCATTTGAGTTGACGAATGTGCGATGATCTCTCCTGAAAGGACTCTCTCTGATAGAGTGACAATCTATTTCAATATGCTTAGTTCTTTCATGAAACACTGAATTGAAGGCAATATGCAAAGCAACTTGTTTATCGCAAATAAGTGTTGTTGTTTCAGTCTCTCCAAACTTCAGTTCCTTAAGCAGTTGTTTTAGCTAGATAAGTTCAAAAGTGATTGTGGCCATGGAATGATACTCTGCTTCAGCACTCGATCTGACAAACACACATTGTTTCTTACTTTTCCAGGAAACTAAGTTATTTCCAACCAATACACAGTATCCAAAAGGTGGATCTCCTTAATCAACATCTGAGTATCCCACAACTCTAATATGACTTCTGTCTCCATAGAAGAAACCTTTCCCTAGAGCTATTTTGATGTACTTGAGAATATGAATCACTTCATTCCAAAGATCTTCACAAGGAGAATTCCGAAACTGACTCACTACATTGACCGCAAATGAGATGTCTAGTCGAATGATTGTGAGGTAGTTCAGCTTTCCAACTAATCTTTTATACCTTTGTAGATTTGAAAACGGCTCCCTCTGGTTTGGGAGAAGCTTGACATTTGGATCTATAGGAGTGTCAAATGGCTTTGCATTCAATAGATCACAATATCGAAGTGGGCCACCTGTATCCCTAAGAAATATCAAAGTTTAACAACATTTTTTGTCTGAAAATGATGGCTGAAATGCTTTACCTAAGTAATGTCATGATGATCATTACCTATAATGACAATGTCGTCAACATACACCACCGAATAAATGGATCCTGAGACTGAGTGATGAAAGAATACTAAGTGGTCAGCCTCACTCTGAGTCAAGCCAAACCGTTTAATAACAGTGCTAAATCTTACAAGACTGTTTGATGTCATATAAAGACTTGTAGAGACGACAAACTAAACTAGACTCCTCCTAAGCAACAAACCCAGAGGCTGCTCCATATAGACTTCTTAAGCAAAATTGCAATGGAGGAAAAGAGGCCAGCGACGGATAGCTGCCATACTAAAGAAAAGGAGAATTGAAGTCATTTTCATCACAGGGGAGAATGTGTCACCATAATCCAGGCCAAACACCTAATTGTATCCTTTAGCCACAAACTGAGTCTTGAGATGGTCCACTTGACCATCAGGACCAACCTTAACAGCATAGATCCACCTGCAACCAACAGATTTCCCAAAGGGAAGAGGAACCAAATCCTTAGTACCACTGCTCTGAAAGGCACATATCTCGTCAAACATAGCCTGTCGCCATCAAGAATGTGATACGGTCTCAATTAGAATCTGATGAGCCTTCAATAAAGTAACCAAGCCCATTAATTAGGAATTAGTATATATAGAAGTTTAGGGTGATATTTCTATTATTCATGTATTCAGAATATTTGGAGTGGGGTTTTGGGAAAGGATTTCTTGGGATCTCTTTGGCTTAGGTATTTGGCTTGAGAGTGAGTGAGATCTTTTAGTGTGTATTTTCTGTATTTCCTTTATATTTTCTGCAATTTCAGATTTATAAAAAAGGGGTTCCATCAATTTGCTATCAGAGCATCTTCGATCCCGGAGGTGCTTTCTGGTCCAGATTCAAAAAAAAAAAAAAAAAAAAATTGAGCAACCGATCCAGATCTAATACAATGGTTCCAAAATTTTATGGAGGCGAAGATGAAATGAAAGCTTGGGGATGGTTGCTCGGGCTTGAACAACATTTTCAAGCAAACCAAATTCCAAAAGCTGATATGTTGAAAGAGGCTGTGAAGGGGTTGAGAGGTTGTGCTCTCAGCTGGTACAAACATTGGAGTGTGCTCAGTCCCCATGTAAGTTGGCAGAGCTTTGATAGAGCATTTATAAAGAGGTATATACCTGAGATCTATATAGTAGATGAGGTTGTAGTCTCAAATAATCCAAAAAAAAAGGAAGAAGAAACAGAAAAAAAAGAAGAAAAAAGAAATAACAGTGCAGAGGAAGAAGATGCAGCAGTAGAGGCAGTAGAAAAAGAAACAAAAATCAGCAAAGAAGAGACAATGACAGCGCTACAGAAAAAAGAGCTACAGAAAAAAGAGACGGACGAAATCGAAGAAAAATCAAAAGCGGAAGTGAAAGCAGAAAAAGAAGAAGTACAAGAGCAGCAGCAGCAAAAACCAGTGGCGTTCATGGTTGTTTCCATGGCTGATTTGAGTTGTATGATGAGCCTAGGCCAAAGGGCTGAGGATAGAGAGGTGTTATTGGTTGTTTCCATGCCTGTTATCAACGCAGAAGAAGAAATAGAAAGAGGAACAGTCATCAAAGAAGAAGGATCAGTAATCGCAGAAGAAGGAGAAGAAACAGAAGGAAAAAAAAAAAAAAAAAAAAAAAAGGACGAAGAAGAAGGAGAAAGCAGAAAGTTAACGCTGCATAGAGGGAGAAAGGAAGAAGGGGCATAAATGGCATTACAAGGATTGAATCATTTTTTTGACCTAATGGGCCAAGCCCAAAAGAAATCTGTGTTAAAAGAAAAGGAGATGGGTTTTATTCTACCCATTGACATAGCTTCAGCAATTCTGGTGGGCTAGGGCCCAATACTTGAAGTGATGAAATTTGAGTTGGTGCAAAAAAGAATATTGGGCCAAAGGAAAGGCCAGCTACAGGAACCCAAACCAAAAGAACAAGGAATTGAGAGACATTTTGTGTACAATTCAGGAAGCTGAAATTAGCTTGTGTTTTTCAGCCAAAAATACCCCAGCCAACAGAGCACTGACAGAAACAACAATTTTCAATGGTACAAGGGGCTCCAATGGCAATTTTTCAGTTTCAAGCATAATGGGGTCAATATGCTTCAAGCTATGGGACCCAGGAGGAGTGTATCTCACATTACATGTCCTCTTCCCTCACCTTGAGGACAAGGTGAATTTTGGAGGGGGAGTATTGATGGGCCTTCAATAAAGTAACCAAGCCCATTAATTAGGAATTAGTATATATAGAAGTTTAGGGTGATATTTCTATTATTCATGTATTCAGAATATTTGGAGTGGGGTTTTGGGAAAGGATTTCTTGGGATCTCTTTGGCTTAGGTATTTGGCTTGAGAGTGAGTGAGATCTTTTAGTGTGTATTTTCTGTATTTCCTTTATATTTTCTGCAATTTCAGATTTATAAAAAAGGGGTTCCATCAGAGTCTTAGAAATAGACACAAAAGACAAAGAAGATAGACAAGTAAAAAGCAATGGAGATATGAGATGATAACTCAAAGTAAAATAATGAGGTGAGAGATTACAAGAACTATGGATACCTTTGCGAAGAGCAATAGGCATGTAAATATCATAGGACAGGGTCAAAGCTGCAAGCGGAGATGACGTCAGAGGAGAGGTCACAGGAACCTCATCAATAACAAAGTTTCAAGCAAGGGGCACAGGGGGACAAAGCTGATGGAGAAAAAACTGTAAGGGTTGTTAAGAGGCTGAGACATCTAGAGTAGGAGGGGATACTAGTGACGATGGTGGTATATACTCAGCCAATACAATAGACAAAGGTGCAAGGGGAGAGACAGAGTCATTCGAAGAGGAGGCATAATCAAAGTATGGAACAGACTCAACAAATATAACATCCGTCGGGACAAAATAATGATAAAGACTGGGAGAGTAACAACAATACCCCTTTTGTGACAGGTATAACCAAGAAACACACATATGTGGGTCTTAGTAGACAATTGGTCAAAACCAAGGCCGAGGTCATGAACAAGACGAGTAGAACCAAAAATGCGAGGAGCTAGGGAATGCAATGGCTAGTGGATAAATAAAACCGAATGAGAGACTCGGTTATCAAGGACAAATGATGACATGTGTGTTGATAAGATAACACCCAATAAGAACTAAGAACAACATCACCCCTAAAGTAGAAGAGGACATGGTCATGGAGTAAAAGGGTTGAGCAGTTTCAATAAGGTGACGCCTTTTACGTTCAGCCCGTCTTGTTAGGGTGTATGGGAATATGATATTTGGTGAAGAATGTCGTAAGAGACGAAAAATGTCTGAAATTGATAGGATAAATATTCATGGGCATTGTCGCTATGAAAAGTGTAAATAAGAACACCAAATTGGGTAAGTATTTCAATGTAAAACTATTGGAATATAAAAAATAATTCAAACCGATTTTTCCATAAAAAATAACCAAGTACATTGAGAGTAATCATCAATAAAAATAATAAAGTACTGAAACCCCATTGTAGAATTAGTACGACTAGAGCCTCAAATATCTAAAGGAACCAAAGTGAAAGGAGAGAAAGCACAACAACTAACACATACGGGAAACGAACATCGAGTACGTTTACCTAACCTACAAGACTCATATGACAAACTAGATAAAGTAGACAAATGTGACACCATTTTTTGAAGTTTTGCAAGGCTTGGATGATGATGACCCAACTGAACATTAACGGTAAGAGAATAACCCACTGCAAAGCACACTGAGGATGAAATTGATAACTAACAAAGGCTATTGGACATTTGGACTCACATCTAGCGCCAATCATACTCCCTGAACTACGGTCCTGCAAAATCATGAAAGTTTTAGTAAAGGAAATAATACAGTCAAGAGAGCGAGTTAAGCGACTAATGGAGAGAAGAGTGAATAGAGAATTAGGGACATAAAGCATATTATCAATGGATATAGAGGGAAAAAGTAGAAAAGTGTCAATCCCACGGGATTTGACCAATGAACCATTAGCCATGGTGATAGTGGGCAAGGAACCAGACGTAGAAAGAGAAGTGAATAAAGACTTATTACTTGAATTATGATTTGATGCACCAGACTCTAGAATCCAAGGACTAAGAGATTGCGATTGAGTGAAACTAGCAAAAGAATTATTCGTGTGCAACAAAGGCAGTGAAACCAAGGGCGTGACACTCCCATACCATTTCATGAAATCAATAAAAATAGTCAGAGGTGATTGTGGCATACCAAACGACTGAGAATCAAAAGAGGCTTGTGCCACATGAGCCGTGTGAGGAGGACAATGAAGGTCCCAACAACGATTAACAATATGGTTCGATTTGATACAATGACTGAAATGAAGACAATTCTTGGAAGGCTTGTTGTCACGACCAGAACCCTTGGATACAAGTGCAGAGGTATCAGCCAGTGAAAGAGAAAGAATTGCAGGCTTAGCAACATGCTTAAGGGGAATCCAAAGCAAGGTAAACCAAATAAAGTTCAGAGTCGGGACAGTGGTCAAACCTAGAATCTAGTCATAGTTGGTAGAGTACTTCTAGGCTATAAAGAGCCAGCAAAATGAAAAATTTGTTTTATTGCTCAAGTTCCTTAGTACAATCCTCAGCGAGGGGGCAAAAGTTCATTGAAATCATGGATCAAGTCATGAACCTTCCCTAAATAGGAAGACATAGGACCATCAAGACAACAAGGAAGGGGGGAGGTTTGGGCAAACTCCATAGAAATGTTGAGTGTTATTAGTATAGAGTGCCTTGGCCTGACGCCAAACATATTCACATGTAACATGAGCACGAAAGATCTTCTTAAGGGAAGGGTGAATAGTAGAGTTGATGAAACTGCATAACTGGGCATCAATCTTCTTCAAACAAGGGAGCTTAGTAGCGGCTATAGACTCATCCATGTTGGTGAGATGGTCGTTGTAATCCAGTGCATCAAGCTAAAGTTTGAGATCGTACGCTTAAGAATCATAATTAGAACCATTGAACTCGTCCACGCATAACGGAGCATGAACGTAATTACTAAGAACAAACGCCTTGGGCTTCTAAACATTATGGGGAACACCACCAGATTGCGAGACAGCCATGGTCAACCTAAAAAGATAGAAACACATGTCAACAAGTGCACACACCACGAAACAAGCTCCAATCAACACGAAAACCACATATCCATGACCTGAAGAGAAGGACGACCAAGTTTGTCCAACTCACAGGGGAAATGGAGCAGCCACGCATTGCCACGTGCCGCCAAAGGAAAGAAAACGATGCAACTGTTCACAATGTGTGGGGGCATGTTTCAAGATTGTCGAAGTTGGGTCTTAGACAGACATGACCATCGTGAGAAGGCGATCCAACTAATGGGACGATCAGTCGAAAATTTGCTGGAAAAATCTCTGGCGCAGTGGTCGACGACGGACGAACAACAGCAATGACTCGCCAGAGACGTGGCGGACGACAGACAATCTGGGACGATTGTCGGAAGTTGAGATGGCGTTTGAGGACAGAGAATGGTGCCAGAGGGATGTCATAGAAGGAGATACCAAAAACCGAAAAGATGACACGATTTCCGAAAACAAATTTGCCACCGATAGGCAGTGAGCCACCGAGTAGGCACGGATTAGGGTTGTCTCTCGTCAAGCTCTCGATACCATGTTAAAAGAGAAGGAAACAAAAGACATATGATGTAATCCGCATGATTAAGATACAAGGCAGAGACACTAATATATAACTAAAGGAGATATAGAAGAATAATACATGATGTGAGACTTTGTGCCTTACACTAAACTATTTTATTTATAACACTCTAAACATATTCAAATTCCAATTTCACTAGAATTAGGGTCTATTTGACCTGAAATTAGGTGGTTGAAATTTCCAAATGAAACTCCAAGTGATACCAACCTGCTCAATGAATAAATTCAAGAAATAATAAAAGATACCAAAAACAAGTGGCTGTAAACACAAGGATTTTAATAGAACTCACCACTCGCATGCCATGCCTAAAACTTCTTCCAGAAACAACTGCTCTAACAATGCCATCATATGTATGGCTGGATGGCTGCAAACCAAAATTTTGCATCTGAACAGAAAAGGGTCCTTTAATACGTTAAAGATATTAATCTAAATGAAGTTGGCAATTAATAAAATTTCTTAAATTTCCGTAAACATAAAAAATATATTTATGCTAAAAAAATTTAAGAATGGAAGACTTAAAGGGACAAGTAACACTGATATTCATATGTGATTGAGAATCAACTATTTGAAGCATTCAATAATTGGAATCTTAGGGTTGAAATCTTAGGGGCCTGAAATCTGAAAATTTGAAATTTGACATAAAATTTGGGCAATCTATGTAGAGAACCTTCCATGATTATAATATTTGGGCAAACAAATAATTAAGTCTATAGATCCTGTATTACATGGTGCATTACAAAGAAAATTGACAAGCTTAGTCAAATGTCTACCTGTAACATAAGCTTCCTTGCAAGCGCATAATTCTTTTGTTTTGCACACCCATGTATTATATCATTAAAGGACCACCTCAAAATTTTCATAAGCAATGGGTGTTTTTGTCCATTCAGCCCATCTATTTTAGAATTCTTTGCTTTTTTATTTCCCACGCGAATAATTTGCGGCCCTATACTTGCAGAAATAGAATCAGGGAAATACATAGAAGGAGGGCATATACAAGAGTCCGGTTGCTTGGTTTCCTTCAAGTCCAATACGGTTGAGCCTAGCTCTCTATTTAGAGGTACAGGGATGTCCAATCTAGTAGAATACAACTTCCCATTAACTGTTCTAGCAATAGAAATGTTTCCCCCAATGGCTAATGACACCATTTGTTGCAGTGTTTTATATGCAGATTTTAAATCTCCCAACCTTGTGAATGACCAAATGAATTTACGGAGAGGAAGGATACTCATACTGTAGTGTTTAATATACTCCTGCCAAATTAGATGGACTGCAGGCAAGTTTTTCTGCAAAACTGCAAGCTGAGAAATGGGGTAAGACAAATGATATTATTAATAAAAAGCATAAAAAAATAAATAAAAGCCAACACATTCAAACCCAGCAAAACATGTTTCATAAAACAGCAAAAGAAATAAATTAATCATATTGTGTTCTTACTTGATTCCAGACCATTTACGTAGGTTGGCAATACATAGGCCTATTTTTTCGAAGTTTTGTTTTAAATCCACTTTCTCTAGACAAATGGATTACTGGAATAAGGACAAAAGTGAGAGGGGAATCATATTGTAAGGCAATGGATATGAACTCGTAAAATCTGATTTCCTTGTCCCTCTCTCTACAAGACAAAGGAACAGAACAAAACTACTGACGGACAATCTAGTCAAAGAATATAAACAGGGATGCTTTCCTATCCTATAAACGAGGAATGTTAGCAAAACATTCATTGACATTCACTTTTTTTTTTTGGAAAAGTGACATTCACTTTTTAACACTATTATTAGGTATCCCATTCTAGTCCCACTAAACATCCAGGGCCCACTTTGTATTAGTGGGGCCAGCATGGGATTTCACCCAATAATAAAGTGTTGTAAAGAGAGTCAAAAAGTGGGTTGCAAGCATTTCTCTCTTATGAATTATAATAAATATTCACTCCTTTACGGCCAATATTCACTCCTTTGAGAAGGTTTAATGATGTGTAGCATGCTTTTCTGTTTCAGATGTAAAACATTATTAGAAGTATCAATGAAAGACATTATAGAAACCAGAGCATAAAAAAACGAAAATATATAATAAATATTGAAAACTATGAGAAACTGCCAGTATATTTGTTTATCCCAAATGGCAATGGGAAAACAAAAAACATATGTCCTCTTCCACCTCATGACAAAGCCTTTCACAAAACAATAAACATATGTAGAAGGAAAAAAATAAAACAAAAAGGGAACTCGTCATTGTCAAGGGATGGCAGATGTCAATGGCAAGAAAGAAAAGCCTCCTCACCCATCATTTAATAATCATCACTACTCTTAGAAATGAGGAAAGTATAAGTTTTCCTTCGGTAAGCAGTAAGCTTAATATACAAAATCACGCCAAGGTTGGGAAGGGGATTATAATGATCACAAAGCCTTAAATTATATGTCTGTTCTGTACACAGCAATGAAGCCCAAAATATAGTGCTCAAAACTGAAGTTTCACCTAATGAAACAACATCTAGAGATAATTTGGAATACAGAGCAGCCAAGAACTGGTCCTGGTGCAAAGTGCAAACTAGTATATATTGTAACTAGTACTCCTAAGAACATGCATCTTATATGAAAGTGCTTTCAGACTTTACAATCTGTCGAATATCACAAATAATGCTTTTCTCAAAAACCACTCCCCATTAAACCCCAGCTAGCGAGAGTAGGGATGAGAGCAATCCTTGTACATAGCCTTACCCATATATATTTGCAAAGAGACTATTTCCGAATACGAACACATGACTTTTCAATCACAAAGGAACAGTTTTATCGCTGTTCAAGGCTCACCCTCTTAATGCTTTTCTCAAACTGAAAGAAAATTTTCTCTTCAAAAATAATAATAGAATGATAAGAGTACTTTCTATCTTCACACCTTGACAAGCTCAGTATATGTAACTTCACTCTTTCCCACCATCAGCTTTTCCATCAAGTCTAAACATTTGCTTGCTTGAATTATACTCTGCATTTCCGTGCAGGATCTTAAGAGACTATTGCACAAAGGGAGAAGTGGATGCAGACGTTGACTTTCTCCAAGAAAATCCATCATATTAAAGGCCTGAACAAAAAATAACAGGAAGACAGTAGAAAAATAAAAATCTTATAGCTAAGATGAAGGTGATTCACTAATGACTGCCTCATATACCTCACTTGACTTGCAATTTAATGCTACCACAAAAAATAGAAACATATGAATTTGTAATTTCAGAAAAATCTTTTTTTTGTTTAAAATCCCTGAAAATGTAATGGATCTATCCAATACCAACATACCCTTAACCCTGCCCCTCTTCCCATTAAGAGACCCAAAAAGGAAAGGAAGGTAAAGGAAATATATACTCAATTATACTATTTACAAAAACTAATATTTTACCTCTTCCAAGTAACCCCCATTACATAGGGCCTGCATCATAAGAACGAAGCATATATAATTCATGCTAACATCTTTTAACTCCATTAATCTCCACATCTCCATAACAAACTGCAACAAATCAAAAGGGGAAGCAATAAACTTCACATCCGCAAGATATTCCTTCATAACTCATGGTCAGAGAATTTCAAGAATAAAAGGTATACTCATGCAAAAAGGAAACTTGGGATAATTTATTATGCTTCTTACTCGCGCACAGTAGAACATACAGCAGTTATTTGCTAATTGTAACTAAACAGTGTAAATATGATTTGTTGTTATCTAGACCTGTTTAGGTTAGTTAAAGTTAATGACAATAGTGCAGTTAGTAGAAATTACATTGATGAGAATCACACAGCGAAGTCGTACAGGCATTGTATCAATTTGTAGAATTGTCAAGGATAAAATTGAACTGCAGCTAGAATCACTATTTCCATCCATACATTTTATAAATCCATCCTTCAAAAAAATCTTAAAATATTCATTTTGCAAACCTAGAAAATAAGGGAGGGTTAAAAAAATGAACTTGTGAATGATCTTAGGATTTAGGAATCCACCAAAAGCACATTGAGTTACCATGTTATTTAGCATACCAATGGATCAGGAGATCGTGCACAGTACTTGAAAATATCAACAAAATCATCAGATGTTAATGGGTGACTTTTGTAACCAAAATCCAAAAGTAATTCTGAAGCTTTTCTTCTCTCACCGGAGCGCAGTGCTTTGACAATTTGCATTTGTATTGATGATCCAACTACAGGTTCCATAAAATTAGAACCTGCATTTTAATATACACTATCATCCTGCGAGTTAATAACAATAATAAATATATATACAAAGGGATTAATGTTTCTCCTACTGGGAGGGTTACAATTATCTCATGCAACTCCAAAACAACATCATTTTTTCGTTTAAGAAAAAAACAAAATATTTGAAAAGAAATATAAAATTTCTAAAATATCCTTCTTCTTCTTCTCTTGTTTTCCTACACCCAAAACGACATTATTTAGGGTTGTATTGCAGGAAAGTAGAAACACTTTTTCCCATATACAAATTCATACATTTACAAATGCATATAATACGAGAGCAACATTTATCAAAAATAAATAAAAGTAAATTATTGAGCAACGATTGATTTGATAGGTGAACTGAAAAGATAAGAGTATCTGAAATCAATTGTAATATAAAACGCTCAATAAGTGAGTGAATAGTGATTACCTGTTGTTGTGGTGGTGAGATTTCGAGAGAATTGGATTCCACCTTCCTACAGTAACAGGAAGAAAGCGTTAGGAAAGAGAAAAGGTAAGAAGAGAGGAAATAGCATAATAGATAAGTTACATGGGAATGGTGATGATGCCACTTTGATTTACAAATTGAAATAGAGCGTAGAGCAACCCATGCTCTGAATCCATGCATATGCATGTTTTCAGTTTCAGCCCCCAAACAATGGTTAATGTGTCTCTACTTCCCTTGTCAGTTGAACCTCGAATCCCCAAGGTAAACAAGAACACTCATTTGAATCTCAACTTCCTGAGCTGTCAATTGGGGTTGTAGGCCCGGGCTCAAATTAATGGGCTTTTTTAATACCCAAATGTTGCAGAATTGTGTGGGTAAGGGCTGGGTTATCAGTGGGTCAGCCCACATTTCACAAAAGGAGGACTAACAGGGCCCTTGTAAAAAAAAAAAAATTTAAAAAAAAGGTTTCATATTAGGAAAAGGCATGTCCCATGGAAAAACCTTTGGTACATTAGTGATACCTACATCTTTGTTAAATGGGGAAAGTTTTTGAAATTTAGAAAAAAAAAAAAGGAAAAATAAGGATTTAAATGAAAAAAATTATTTAAAAAAAAAAGATGTTCCTACTTCGATACATTCGCTGCATTTAAGAAATTTCCATATCCCATAAGAGAGAGATCATCAACTTCCATAAGAATCTAGGGTGGGATTTTATAATGCCTATCAAAAAGAAAAATATAAATATCAAATACAAGCCACGATTTGTGTGGACTATGATAAAAAAAAATTGCTTGTCAGGTGATAATTTGTTCTTCTTAGAATCAATTGTGCTTGTTAATGCAATAAAGCCTACTTTTTTCTTCTTCTTTTTTTAAAAAATTGTGGTTTGTAAAAAAAAAAATTCACACTATTATTTTTCTCAAAATTATTCAAATATGGTAAGAGTTAAAATCTGTGGTTTGGTCTATAAATCTTGGAGTGGAAGTATAAGTATGTTGGATTTTGTCTATAAAAATGTGTGCCTTAAAAAGCACTTGCATTGTGAAATCCTGGACATGGTTGGTTGTAGCTGAATAAATTAATTGCCAATAACCACATGTCGCTTAATATTGTGTTAATTTTGTGTTTAAGAAGATAAAGTTGTGTGATTTGCATAATGTAATTTACATAGGGGTATTATATTTATGTAACGATTTGAACACTAATAATATTTCAATTCAATAAAATAATGATAACTAGAAAATATAAAACAAAATATACAAAAATATACCAACTTTAAAATGATGGAAGAATTAAAATAAAATAAAAAATATTTGCAATAAGACCACAAAGAGTAACACCCTCTCAACGTCTAACGAGACAAACAAAAGGATGGAAGATTAAGACCGTCCAATTGGTCATTTCTATGATTGCAAAATGGTAGATGAGCAAATAATAAACTAATCTAGAGATACAAATGCTATGTTGGTTAATGGAATACATTATTTTTATGAGAATGATAACTCAAAACCTTATCGGAACATAAGTGGATAATATTGTGGCCTCAGAAGCACCGACACACACATTTGGAAGAGAAAAAAAGTGTCAGACACATGTCGAATACGGACATGTTATGACATGCTCTAACAAGCATTTGACATGCGGTCAATATTTTAGGACACGCGATCAATGCTCCAACACGCAGTCAATGTTTTTCGACACGTTCTGACACGCATCCGACACAGTCAATATTTTCCGACACACGATCATCGTTCATACAAGAGTCACACACTCTAAGAAATCATTTCTTTCAAGGAAGGTTCAACTGGGTGCTTTAAATAGTCGTCACTCTTAGGAATCACTTCCTCAAAGAAAGTCCATCTTCTTATGTTCAATTGACTCGAGAATTGTCCACTCACAATCACAAGATATCACATCAAGTGTTTTACACTAAGCACACCCACAATGGTGCACCCACACAAGGCATCTCACCTATACCAGTTATTTTCGTGAAATCCATGTGCAAGAAATCTTTAATTTCACAATATCATGCCATATTTCTAATTCATTGCATATTACGACTCACCTAACCTATGCTCAACGTTGTAAATCAATCCATCAATTTTCTTGTTCATTCCACCTCTTGGTGGTTGTAGAATATCCACTTACAATGACAAGACCTTCATTGAATGCACCAACATGCCACATGGGATACCATAATTTATTATTTCATGCTACCAGCATACAAAGACCACTCGATGAATCACAACTCAGAGTGGTGTCCAAATAGGACTTCTAAGAGTCATACCTCTTAAGGTCCATTCCCCAAAAGGAAATCCATTACATATTCTGTTGACCAAGGAACTATTAGGCATACATGCCATCGTGTACCTCATATACCAGTACTACTCGATGAATCCCATACCAGTTGAGCGTCCAGATGGAACTCCTAAGAGACTACCTCTTTGGATACATCCTTTCACTGGATATTCCCTACCACATCATTTTCCTATAACCAAAGAATTCAATTATCCATTATAAAATACATATACAGGCACTCAAGCCCTCACAAGATTCTTATCCATTTATTCATCAAAGGTTGTATACGGGCAATCAGGCCATTACGTATAATCCATTTATCCTTTATGGATATCCAGTGGCAATCAGGCCATTATATCATATACATATATATTATCAATCTCATGGGACTACCAAGAAACATCCATCATGGATCAAATCTCTTAAGCATCATATCATCTGTAACTCCATCATAGAGTCGACTCCAGACAAAGCCCCACACATTAATATACATATATAAACATGTTACTGCACAACAAAATCACAAAATATCAAACAACATACCAACATACTATTATTATTAGTACATGACATCAGGTCAAAAAATTTTACATTTTTCATTACTATCTTATGTAAAATTTATACAATTCAGATATCATATCCATTTCATCTATGGCATGTCTGCTAATTAGAACCAACATCCATCATTGACAACGGTGCCTTCAATTCACATTTGTTTTATGTCATCCAAGGCAATTATCTCAACTTCCTCCTTGTACACATAATACATCATTGATACACTTTACTTAGGTGTAATAAATATTACCTTATAATGGATTTAAATTCTATATTCCCATGCCAATATATCCCAAATTAACACATCACTAACATAATCATTCCAAAGTGATCACATTCCTCGGGATCAGATTTCAAAGATTCAATTCATTTATACTCATCAATCATCTCAATTCATTCAAGTGTATGCCTTCCATCAGGGACTTATAACTTTCTAATTTAACATCAATGTATTCAAGCTTACATCTAAGCATACCTATTCATATTTTTTATGAATTCACCGGGGTTCCAAGTCACCTTCCATGTCACAGTCAAACCACCAAGTCCATATGTAGACAATTATTTTAGCTAACACATACTGGAAAGATTTACCAACTCAATCTCCGTAATACCAAATCATCTCAATTCTTTACTATCAAGCACACCACACAATTCCCCTATGATAGCATTCTACATTAAAGGGTTAATATGAGTATCCCAATTTGTTTTCATTAGGCCCTCAATTATATTTTATTTATAGTCATCTCTGTTTGTGGAATAGTCAATATTGCAGCCACAAAATCAGACTAAGGATTGCATTAGGTGCTCCAGGGTTGACACGCAGCTTTCTCCTGATGACCACACATGTAACACAAAGGAATGGGTTGATCAGACCCACACTAAGGAATCACATATGCGATAATCAATAAGAGTCTACATACAACTATACAGCACTTAACACAAAATCAAGCAATCTGCAAGTTCCCTAAGAAACTGCTCTGATAGTATAAAATGTAACATCTTGTTATCATATCGGTGTATTAACATCAATTATGATATTAATCGCAGTTACGATCGCAGCAATTCATTTAAAAATACGGAAAAACTTTTTTTTTCTTTTTATAACGTTCACACTTTTAAAATCTTTGTATTTAAGTATGTTGCGAACTATGATCACAAGTCAAATATTATTGCGGAAACATAATTTTTATAACATCATACAGCATGGGTTTAAAGTTTCTAAGTGGTTCCTATAAACCAACAAAGTTTAATATTCACTTTATTCATGTTCAACACTAAATGACTTCACCTTTTTATTACTCTAGGAATTCTATACTTCCTCTATGATTCTCATCTCTTACTATTTATAAATTTCTCTGTTAGCTTCGCATGGGTTCAAACTGCACTCAAATTGGAGTATCGTAGCTCAAGTTATGAATTTTCTAAGAAATGGGTGCTGAAGCTCAATGCCAGAAGCGCGACAAAGTGAATTCCCTTCTGTTTTATGACATCATTAGTGCCAAGGATATTTCTTTTTGTTTAGTGGCGCCAAAGGCGCCGCGAGTCTGGGGACAGACACCAAATAGGGAATTAAAACCTACTTTGGTATTTCACCCATAACTTGGGTTATACTTATCCAATTTACACAATCTTAGTCTCGTTGAAAAGCTAAAAGAAAGATCTACAACTTCCAAGAATTCCAAGGGATCCAATTCTATCATATCGAATATGAGAATTGGGCAGCACTCTATTTACAATCGATAATTTTTAATTATGTACCTAATCAATTATCATCCATCAAAATTATACATTCCAACATCTATAATAGGCATATGTCATTCCATCACATATATACTTCCATAGGTACATCACTACATTATCAAATTGAATACATGTCCATGTTACCACATTATGGCAAACTTTACATAAACCACAACACTAATGCCTCAAATATAGCAAAAGTGGCATGGACATCCCCATGCTCACCAAAACTCAAAATAACATGTGAGGCATATACAATACAAGTATCAAAATACAATCCATGATCAAATGGCTTGGAAATAAATATGAACAACCTAAGCATGGTAAATACAATCTCATGCAATACAATGTTCATATCCTAAGTGATGTGCGATGTCGAACTCACGCAAATTACCGAGCTTCAGGTTTGTAGTGATAGGGCAACTCGGATCGTCTCCCAAAGAATCTGCTAGAAATCAAAATGCTCTTGTAAAATAAAATATAAAAGGAAGGGGGATTTTGTTGATTTGAAATTTAAATAAAAATAGATTTAAAATTAGAATTTAAAAATTAGAATTAAAAAGCAATCAACCTAAGGAATCAGGATTCATTAATTTATTTCGTCATTGGATAAAAATATATAATTATCAATTCGTGATTAACCCCAA